CCTACTGGGTCCGCTGCGGCCACCGACGCGGCTCGTAACAGCACCCAACCAAAAACTCTCATAAGCAGGGAGGAAAACTTTTGGCAAAGAAAATAAACTACCAGGACGGGTTTAGAACTTTGAGAAACATGTGGAAATGTTTTAAGCCATTATCGCGATGGTCGGAAAAACGCTAGATGATTTGGCATGGAATGACCCTACGGAGAAAAAGGTTCGTGAGGGGACAGGTACGTGTCTGGTGCGCTGTGCCACCCCTGGCTTTGCCACTGGTCAACACGCTGTCTGAAGTAATGCACGAGAATATGTACTCCTTGAGCTTCACAGCTGTTGAGAAAATGTAAGCTTTCGAGTGCCCTGAGGCACACAATTACTTTACTAGCGGCTGGGTCAAGATCTTAACGAACAAGATCTTAACAAGTGGCTCCAGGAAGGAAAAGCGGTCCTGTTGGGGACCAGAGTGGGCTACCTAACAATGTTAATGAAGATCACAAGCCCACTGAGATTTCTAGATGGCTGCAAACCAGGCTCATTTTTGTCCATACAGCATCTGTCTTAAGGCTGGCCAGGGTCGTTATCGTCCATTTGGTTTTTGTCTTCTCGCAGGAGCTCGCCTTCCACTGACTCTTGTAGTGTGCACGTATCCCGAATGATTACGGTCACTAGCGTGGGTCCGATCTTAACGAGCCACAGGGCACGCGTTAATCGTCATCGTGGCAAGGACACGGTACTGCTCAAGGTCGCAACACTTTATTGTCTACGGCAACACCAAAACGCAGTACAGTCCCCGTTGCAACAGGGGCAGCGGGAAAGCAAATGGGCTTATCCATGCCCCGGACGAGAAGTACTACACAGGGTGCCGTAAGCACGTGTCCGTGGGCAAAAGTGACTCATGGGGACACCGGGACAAAAAAGCCCGATCGCTCGAGCGAGAGCAAAAAAAAAAAAAAAAAAAAAAAAAAAAAAAAAAAAAAACACCACTCGTGTGGGCTTCCAAGAAGTACGGGCCGGCGTAGTATGATCATGCACTAGGACACAGCACCGCTCTTCGGCCTAGCATTCGAAGAGTTGGGGGGGGGGGGGGACGACAAAAGGTAAGTGTTCGCCGCTGGTGCAAGGTGCCGTAAGCGAAGTCTAAACGAGCCCCAAACAAAGGAAGCCATTGGACAGAAAAGAAATGCGTGCTTACCCCATTTCGTCCCGCAGAGACTTTTCCTCAGAACCCGACGCATGCGCGCAAAACGTCCCGAGGGACTTTGTGCACGGCGCCACAGTCGACATCCGCTACCTAGTGAGAGGGGTTAATACTTACTCCCGCTCTCCCAGCACGGCAGACGGCAGAGGAGAGGAGAGTCTTGCTACCTGGTGAGAGGGGTTAATACTTACTCTCGCTCTCTCAGCACGGCAGATGGCGGAGGAGAGTCATGTCAGGACATGAAAACGCAGAAAGAGAGGGCAAAGCCCGTGCAAAGGCAGCGGGCTAGCCTCGATTCCCACACTCTGTGACTGCAGCCACTGCCGCTTCAGCTAGTTTTTTAGTAGGCGCCTAGTCTTTTAGTCATCCCAGTATGCACGACCTTCGTGAAGCGTGGTGCATCCGAGCAGAAACGTTAGTGCTCAATCGAAACTCGTCTGGTCCCACAGCAATTTCTTATGCAGTGTTCCAGGATTTTGATTTATCAATGAAAGGCTTTCAAGCTCACCTGATTTGAAGTGGGCGCTGCAAACTCGGATCTCAGCATGGCCGATGCCGAGATTCGTGCGCCTGATAAGTGCCAGCCACAAACTGAGCTGCTTCGCGTTCTTGTGTGATCACACTGATTGAGGACGATATTTGGCAAGTGGAAGAAAGTTGTGTTCGAAGACTCCTGTCCCTTCTTCATTTTGCTGCAGTTGGGGTACCTAAATATAGTGTCCAGCCCCATGAAGAGTGATCACAGAAATGCTGTCATAAGTAATTAAGTGCTTTCACTGCCGCGGGGCGTCCCCCAAGATGGCGGAGTGGAATCCCTGATCGTGATGTAGGCGCAAGGCATGTTTACACTAGAAATACATAAAATAGAAATACTCACAGTAAGAAATTAAGGTTTAATTAACATGACAATGGCAATAGCATTAAAGGTGGTAGGCCACTTTCAAAAGTAAAATTTTTTTTCGCGAGACAGCTTTTTATTTTTGTTTTTTCTACATGCTTGAATATTTAAAAATATGTAGCAACAAAAATGATCCTCATATCATCATTAGTTTGCGAGTTACAGCTAGATTTCTATACCCCATGATCGTACACCGAAACCACAAGTTGTTGGTTACGAAAGTAAGTGTTTTTCGTCTATATTAATAATATCAAAAATACTTCATGAATTTTATGTTGACTGTTACTTAAGAGGATGTCATTATATATAAGTTTGTGCTTCTAATTGTTTTTAGATCTCTAAAAACGGCTGCAACGGAGACGCAAGATGCTTGTGGTATGTTTGTTGTTTACCTTGGCTGGGCTACGTCAGGCATCATTCTCCATTTCTTCCACCTGTCAATGCTGCAACGTGTGTGTTCTTAGGCCACCTGGACCATATTCAGACCAGCATGGCTAAGTGCAGAACTCAGAAGACAAGGAAGCGCAAGTTTGGTGGAAATTCCTACACGACAACGAGGCTGCCTCCTGACACGGGCACGGGCGTTTCGGTGACCACGGGGAAGCTTGTGGACATTACGAAAACGTACGAGGCTCTGCTGGAGAATTCTTCGCTCCAAAGGGAACAAGCTTGTGGACATTGACATTCTTTCTTCGGTGTTTTCATCACTGACATGCCCTGGATGCATGAACCCAACGCTGAGCTCCAGGAACACTCTCACCAAAAGATATGCTCAACCTGTGCGGTAGTGTCTTCTGACTGTGGGCTCGAGCGTCGATTTGATACGTCTAGAAAGGTGGGACATGCTAATGCAAATAATGTTCGTCTCGTTTACGCGATGCGCCAGTTAGGAAAAAAGCATGCAGACGCGGAAACGTTTGTCAGAGTCATAAACATGCACGCTCCTTCATGTCACTCCGCCTACGACAAATTATCGTCTCGGCTTTCTGCAGCGGCAAGAGAAGAGGCGTCAAAATCTATGGCTGATGCTGCTGTGGAATTTCGTTGTGTAGTGTTTCAGGTGATGACACATTGCACAAGCGTAACCATTAATCTTTGAATGGATGTGTGTCTGTAGTTTCTGTTGACATGGGAAAAGTCATTGATGTAAGGCCCTTTCTAGCTCGTGTAAGTCTTGTTGGTAATTCCAAGAGCTATGCCGCAACGAAAGACGTGTATGGAAAGGAGAGTGTCCAGAAATGGGAATGCATTAGGCATGTCTAAAAGCGTGTTGGCTGCCGCCTCAGAAAACTGAAAAAGGCAGTGCGTTGTTTTGTGGGGGTACGGGAAAGCTCACTGATGCCCTCATTGACCGCCTGCAAAACTATTATGGCATCGCCATAAGGGCTAATGTGGGGAACCTTTCTGCAATAAAAAAAGCTACCCTTGCCAGTCTTTTTCATTGCAGCTCTACCGACAAGCAGCCGAGACATGGCCTGTGTCCACTTGGACCGAACGGCTGGTGTGGGTACAGAAGGGTTGAAGCACTCGGTCAAGGAAAGTATGTGCACAAAGGAGGACTTTTGAATAATGAGCTCAGCAAGGTTAAAACTGTGCAGCGATTTGTGCTCGGATGAACTTTTGATGAAGTGTTTGCATGGAAGGACCCAAGATTCAAATGAGTGCTTCAATGGTGTGACATGGGAGCGGGCTCCCTAAGAGGTCTACGTAAGCTTGCTTACAGTAATATTTGCCTTGCGTGATACTGTGGCACACTTCAATAATGACAGTGTAAGCCCCCAAGACATCCTGAGGCAAGCTGGCATAGAGCCAGAGTACTACACGACGAAAGCTTGCATTGCCAGAGATCACAAGCGCATGCAGAATGTCAAATGCAAGTCAGCGGACGGAACGAAACGGGCCAGAAAGAAAAGAAGAGCAGTCACACAAAGGAAAGGAGACCATAATGCTATTGAAGAAGGACCCACCTATGAATCTGGTGCATTTTAGGACTTTGTGCGATGTTTCTAACACCATGTGCCCACTCTGACATCTTTGTTGACGTTTTCCTCAAAATAAAAATTTGCTCGAAATCATGTGACACCAACTTTGATAACTTTTTTCTCAGCGCATGCTTTGAACTGAAATTTTGTACAATGTTTCACCACTTATATATCTGTGAAGTGAACTAGGATAAGAAAATTTATCGATTAGTTTTGAATTCACAGCTGATATTGCAAACACGTTCAACCTAAATTGGCACTCTTTTTTTGCCTTTTGGAGTTTTTTTAACATGACTTTCTTATTAATATTATTAATCCTAGTTCACTGCATAACTCCAATCTTTGGTTACAGAAATGCCAAAGCTTTACTGAATTCAGGCACCTGTTAGTCACTTATCATGACTGGTGTAACTACCACTTTTCATTAAATTTTTGACAAAAATGGCCTTCTAAAAAAAAGAAATAATATTTTTCACTCTAAACGCCTAGGCAAGGTAAATGAGACAGGCTTGTTCTGACAAAGTAGTTCTCTTAATCCTGGCTCCTCCGATTAATTTTTTTTGTTTTTTGGGGGTGGCCTACCACCTTAGGATATGTTGAATTATTAGTTGTGTACATGCCACGTACTTGTTAACAAGGCATATTTTCTTTTTCCTCGATTTATCCACTCCTGGCAGCACACATGGAACAGACCTTTTGAAGCCCATGCTCTATTTTGTGTATGTGATGTCACTTGATCTGCTCAGTCCAATCGCACACCTGTTTGTTGTTAGGCAATATCAACCGGCGTCAAAAACAGAGGCAGTGACCATGTATGACTTGTCGGAGGAGGCGATCCCAACATAGTTGCCTACAATGACAGCACTTGTCTGGCGACGGGTTTCCTCGGTGTCAGACAAGGGGGCAGTTTCAGCGCGAGCGAACCCACCTGCGAGCCTCGTTGTCCAGCCGGCGCTGCTCTTCGTCCACCAACTGGTCCCAGACGGCCTGGCGCGTCTCGGCGTCGTCCAGGTGGTCCAGCAGGCTGGGTAGCGAGTCGGATACGACCAGGTGGACGCCGACGCCCGACACAGCGCCGGCCGTCCACGCTACGCTGTTCCTGTCCTCATGGTCCACGTACAGCCTCTCGAAGGTGACCAGGCCAGAGCCGTTGTTCCAGGCCAGTGGCGCCGAGCACGTCTCGCCCACGATCTCGCCAGACAGGCTGAGCACCCCTTCGAAGTTCCTGGCCAGCACGAGCCGGTCCACGCTGCGGTAGTAGTAGCCGCTCTGCTCGGCGCCCGTCTCGGCGCTGACCACCACTCTGCGCAGTATCTCGCGCGTGTTCGCGTCGATGAGAGCCACGGTGACGCCCGTGCTGCCGCTCAGGATGTCGCCGAGCACGCCCAGCCGCGACACGGACAGCGGGTGGTGCACTTGGAAGCCGAATCCCGTGTAGAGCGGTCTCTTGCGAGGAAAGCAGTCACGCGCCTGCGCCGCGGTCGCGTAGAAGTCCAGGTTCTCGTTGATGGCTGTCACGTTGGGCTCCCATCGCTGGCACACGTACGGATCGAGGCGGTCCTCGGGCGGCACACGGCAGCCATCGCGACCGACCACGAAGAAAGACTTGACGCGCGATGCGCCGCTCAGCCACGTTTCGCGCGCGGCCGCACGCCTCTCGAAGTTCTCCCGAGCTGAGAGCACGGCAACCAGAAGCACGGTGCGACGCGTGAAGTAGGCGTACAGCAGCGCCTGCACCGCGATCGCCACGCACAGCCAGCCGACCGCGCGAGGGTTCATAGTGGCCGCCAGCTGGACCGCACCACCACTCAAAACAACGCACCCTTGACTGCCGACACGCGCTCTTTTCGAGAAAAAGACACAAAACAAATTAGCCAACGCTTTTTTTTTCTTGTACTGCACGTCGCTTATTTGCTTAATTTGACCCCGTCGCAATTGCTAGGTCTGCAGCTCAAAAACATGGCGGCTCCAAGGGTGCGACCGTGGATGTGCCTTCCGAGTAAGGTTACGTTTGCTAAATACCTCGGTACTTGTTCGCTCCCGATGGCTGTCATATTTCCCCAATCGTAAGGGAGATGTAAGCAGCCGTAAACTGTCGCATTAGTTCTCGAATTTGCTACCACGTTGTGTCTTCGCCGCGTCTCGCCCAATACTATTAAGTTCAGTAGAAATTGGTTTCGCTCGTAATGTGGTACACGTGCAGTAAAATGTGCGCGCATTGTCATGGTTCAAAGGTTCGTTCCGCAGTTATTTAAGAGAGCCGCCGCGCCTGTGTCGAGGGACGACCTTGTCCTGGAGGGTACGCCAGAAGCCTCGCATCGACCTGTTTTTATTGCGTATTGTACATGTTATTCATATACAGGTTGGATCCCAGAGCCCAATCAAGGGCAAGGGTCTGTTTTTTTTTTTTTCTACAGTAGTAGTTACATTGAGCTACCGAACAAATAGGTCATCCCCGGTGCAAAGCATTACAATAGCTTCATGTATAATAGATATATAGAAACACAACACCAAATCTAAGTAATATTTATAAATACAAACAATACCCTCGCAAGTTTTGTACTATGATTTGAAGGTACAAGGCGAAGAGTTAGAGAGTGCTGGTGCGATATAAGGAAATTAATATAGTTTGTCCTCGTGCAGGGTATACATCATGGTGTAGTTAAGGTGGAATGTAATGAATAAGTGGACTTTTGATATCTCACTACGCCAATGGCTCTAGGTTGTATATCTAGCATGCATATGAAACTGCTCATGGTTCTGTATTTGGCATGAAAAAAAAAGAGCTCCTAGTGCTGTGTTCTGTGCTATTGCGAGGGGTTTAGTGCATATGATGGGTGAAATAATGATATTGCTACGTGCCAGTGCATGGAGCTGAAGAAGAGAAAGCAGATAGACTGGCACGAGCTAATCTGTGTGGCTGGCGCTGCTCGCCTGACCGGCTGTAGATACATCGGTGACTACCCCTCTGAGTCGGTCTCCTTCCCGTAACATATTTAGTGGAGTTGTGCGATCCCCGTCCTCGCCACGGAACTCCGAAGCGGACGCTCCCTCGCGGCTTACAACATGACCACTCAAGACTCGGCTACATCCTCTTCGGTCGCTCCCCCTTCTGCCCGACCTGTCAATCCAGCGCCCGCAACAACTTTTGTGATGCTTCCCGCGCTCAAAGACCCCGGCGTGTTCTCGGGCAGCGAGGGTTCCGACGTCAACCAGTGGCTACGCCTCTACGAACGCGTCAGCGCCACTTACAGGTGGGATCCCACTCTTATGCTCGCAAACGTCATTTTTTATCTCGACGGAACCCCTCGTGTTTGGTTTGATAACCACGAGCATGACATAACAAGCTGGGACAGCTTCAAGGCAAAGATCCGTGAGCTTTTTGGCAACATCTCTGGTCGTCGTGAAGCTGCGAAAAATGAGTTGTCGACTCGCGCACAATCTTCCACGGAGCCCTACATCGGTTATATTCAGGCTGTCCTTTCACTATGCCGCCAAGCTGACGAAAATATGTCTGAACCTGAAGAAGTTGCGCATATCCTAAAGGGCATCGCCGACGATGCGTTCAACTTGTTGGTATTCAACAATGTGTCATCTGTTGATGCGACCATTCAAGAATGCCGCCGGTTCCAACAAGCTAAAAGCAGACGCATTTCCCATCAGTTCCAGTGCCTCCCGAACACCACTGCGACATCCTCGTGTCTCGACACATATCATCCACCAGACACCTGTGACAACTTGACGCGAATCGTCAGGCGAGAGCTTGAAGCGGCTGCTCCAGCTAAGGTGGGACCAACGTCCCCTGACCCCTCTCCGCCAATTACGTTGCCTCTCATTCAAGCAGTCGTCCGGCAGGAAATCTCCAGCTTGGGAATACACTTTATCTGACCGCCTCCCCGCACCGACTACCAGCCCCGATACACGCCTGCACGTCCCTTCCCGACTGGCTCTCCCTCAACGTTCCGTAATCCGTCCGCATGGCGAACACACGATGACAAGCCGATATGCTTCTCGTGTCACAGAATCGGGCACATTTCTCGCCATTGCAGAAGTCGCTGGGGTCCTCCTGCACAACCGTCCTTTCGTCCCTTCTATGCACGTCCTGCCTATCGCCATGAGACCAGCCGTGACCATTTTGTCCAGGAACCTGTTTCTGAACACCGCTACTCCCGCTCTCCATCCCCCCAACGTCGCCAGTCTCGTTCTCCACAGCCCCGCCGACCATCTTCCCCCACCTTCCCACGAGGTTCCCCGACGGAAAACTAAGCGTTGCAGCCCCCGGAGGTGGCGCCGCATCGCTCGGACTGACCGAAAATCCCTTTTTGACGATACCAACAAAACGGAACCTCATAGACGTACAAGTAGACGGCGTACATGTCACTGCTCTTGTCGACACCGGCGCCCAACTTTCCGTGATGACGAGTGATTTTCGCCGCAAGCTCAAGAAGGTTCTCACAGCTGCGACCACTCAGTTCGTCCGTGTTGCGGATGGTAGAATAGCATCTATCGTTGGAATGCGCTCCGCTCGTGTGAGCATTGCAGATCGACACACAGTTGTTCTCTTCACCGTCCTTGATAAATGCCCCCACGACGTAATCTTAGGCCTCGATTTCCTGTCCGCGCATTCTGCCCTCATAGACTGTTCGACCAGTACGCTCCGTCTACACTTGTCCGCAACAGAACCTCTTACACAATGGCCGAGTCGCCTCTGCACAACGGGACGCGCGCGCCTCCCTCCACAGACACTGACCTACATAGAGCTCGTCTCAATACCACAAGTTCCCGACGGTGACTATGTTCTGACCCCTATCACCGATGTTCTCACAAGCCGTGGCATTACATTACCGCACACCATTCTGTCCGTCGCAGGAAATTCTACCTGCCTCCCAGTTGTCAACTTTAGCTTGACACCTCAAGTTTCGCCACAAGGGATCTCTTTGGCGTTGCTCTGCACCTTAGAAGACAATGCGGTAGATGTTTTCGCGATGGCCGCCCCTTCTGACCCCCACGCTCAACATCAATCTCCCACTTGCTCCGACAGCGCTATTACTTCGATGATCACTTTCATCCTAACGCCGCAGCAGACTGATGGGCTCCACCGGGTTCTGCTGTCCTACATCGACGTTTTTGACATCAGCGGCCGTCCGTTGGGAAAAGCTACCGGTATGAGCCACCGCATAAACACTGGTATTCATAGGCGTCCATATCGGGTGTCGGCGGCCGAGCGTCACATCATCCAAAGTGAGGTTGACAAAATGCTCGCCGAGGACATGATTGAGCCATCCTGCAGTCCTTGGGCTTCTCCTGTAGTGCTAGTCCGCAAGAAAGACGGTGCATGGCGTTTCTGTGTGGATTATCAAAACCTAAACAAAATTACCAAAAAATACGTCTACGCTCTGCCACGAATAGATGATGTGCTTGATTGCCTCTATGGGTCCCACTATTTTTCCTCCATAGACCTTCGTTCCGGCTACTGGCAGATAGAGGTAGATGAAATGGACTGTGAAAAGACTGCATTCATCACCCCCGATGGCCTATATCAGTTCAAGGTCATGCCCTTCGGCCTTTGTAACGCTCCAGCCACCTTCGAACGAATGATGGACTCCCTGCTCAGAGGATTCAAATGGTCTACCTGTTCGTGCTACTTGGACGACGTCATCGTCTTTTCACCAACATTTGAAACTCACTTAGAGCGCCTCTCAGCCATCCTGGGAATCTTCCGTCGCGCTGGCCTGCAGCTCAACTCGTCCAAATGTCACTTTGGATGCCATCAAATCACAGTGCTTGGCCATTTAGTAGACACCAATGGTGTACAACCAGACCCGGCAAAAATCAGCGCCGTCAAAAACTTTCCTGTACCACGATCTGTGAAGGATTTACGCAGCTTTATCAGACTATGCTCCTACTTCCAACGCTTCGTGAAAAATTTTGCGCACGTAGCGAGGCCGCTTACGCAGCTCCTCAAGAAAGAAGTCCCGTTTTCATGGGGCTCTGAAGAGGCTTCTGCGTTCTCGACTCTCGTCGCTCTTCTCACTACCCCTCCGATTCTGGCACATTTCAACCCTGCTGCCCCTACGGAAATCCGTACAGATGCAAGTGGGCATGGCATTTGTGCAGTGCTGGCTCAGAAACAACATGGCCATGATTGCGTTATTGCATATGCCAGCCGCCTCCTATTCGCCCCTGAACGTAACTATTCGATAACAGAGCGTGAGTGCTTGGCTCTTGTATGGGCGGTGGCGAAATTTTGACCTTATCTATACATACGCCCATTTTCAGTAGTTACCGACCACCATGCACACTGCTGGCTCAACTGGTCGCTGGGCTTTGTGCCTGCAAAAGTTTTCCTATTCGGTGGTTTACAAATCTGGCCACCTTCACCGTGATGCCGGTTGCCTCTCCCAGTACCCTGTCGACGGTCCTGAGGACACTGACGAGCCCACGGAGAACTCTATCTTGTCAGTGTCCGACTTCCTTAATATTGGGGAAGAACAGAAGCGTGATCCAGAGCTGCTTGACATCATCAGCCGTATGGAATCCTCCACAAATGATGCTTCCGTCCGCTACTTTGTCATTCAAAAGGGTGTGCTATACCGTTGCAATTTCCGACCAGACGGGCCCGACCTTCTCATTGTTGTGCCCAAGCATTTGCGCCGCTGCTTTCTCACCGAACTTCACGAGGCTCCCATGGCTGGTCACCTTGGCGTATCCCGCACGTACGAGCGCGTCCGGCGCCGTTTCTTCTGGCCAGGCCTTGCTCGTTCGGTAAGCGGATACGTTGCCACGTGTGACCTATACCAACGTTGTAAAACACCATCGCTGCTACCCGCTGGCCATCTTCAACCAATTGACATACCCACGGAACCATTTTACCGTGTTGGGTTAGACCTTCTTGGTCCTTTTCCCACATCAACATTGGGAAACAAATGGATAGCCGTTATTACAGACTACGCTACACGCTACGTTATTACGCGAGCTCTACCGACCAGCTATGCAACCGACATCGCTGACTTCTTGTTACAAGACGTTATATTGATTCACGGTGCTCCGAGACAGCTTCTCACAGACCGTGGCCGTACATTTTTATCCCAAGTCATCGCCGACACTCTGCGTTATTGTTCCACGCAACACACACTGACAACCGCTTACCACCCTCAAACAAATGGCCTCACGGAACGATTTAACCGCACTTTAACAAATATGCTCGCTATGTACGTGTCGCCCGACCACCGAGACTGGGACCTTGCCTTACCCTACGCAACTTTCGCATATAATTCATCCCGTCACGACACAGCGGGC